TCTCATAATTCCCCAGGAACCAGGTATGTTTTCCCTGACCTTTTCTGAAGCAGCTTCCTTCACACTGTGGGTGAAAATAATGAGTTTGTCTAGGAGAAAAGGGGCTCAGAAGTAGGTATGAAAAATGACTCTGGATTCTATTTTCTTTATTCTCCTCTGCCACAGCTCATAAAAAATGGAGACAAAGTGAGCCTCCCATAGGTAATTTTGGCTCACTTTCTCTTAAACAGAAACTGAGATAGTCATTGCCAGATAGACTACTGACACTAGTTGGTGTTAGTAAAACCCAGAAGCCATGTTTGTATGATTGACCAACGGTTTAATAGAAAAAGAAACAAATTAGTTTGTATTGAGCACTCACCGCAGACCACATAGTGGCTGGATTTTTCCATATTTTATCTTACTTAATCTACTATTGATAGAGGGAAATTGATTTGCCTACAGCTGCATAGCTAGTAAACATTAAAACTATTATTCTAACCCCATTGTTGAGATGCTAGTCCATTTATTAATTCAAGAAGTATGTAAGAGTGTACCATGAGCCTGGTGCCAGTCTAGACAGTGAATAATGAATGACGCACAAAACAGTGACAGACCTTGGCTCTTTCTTCATGGAATTCAGTCTAGTAATTTTCTGTTCAGAACCTTCTTTGGGGGCACCTGGGTGGCTCAGTTGGTTAAGTGTCTGCCTTCAGCTCATGATCCCAGGGTCCTAGGATCGAATCTTGCATCCAGCCTGTTTCTCCCTCTCCCTCTGCCAGCCCCTCCCCCTGCTTATGCCCTCTCTCTCTCTCTCTCTATGTCAAATAAATAAATAAAATATTAAAAAAAGAACCTTCTTTGGAACTCTGCAAATGAGATGTGATGACTTGGGGTGAGTCTTCAAACCCCTTTAGAAACCACTGTGATGAAACTTTTATTTCCAGGCTATCTTAGTGGTTTAAGTTTCTAAAATTCCTTAAGTTTTAATGTTTTTCAGTTTTCAGCACACTTTCTTATTTCTTAAATAAAATAGTTTATCCCTATCACCTTCAAATATTTAAAAGTGTCCTTATTCTTTCAAGACTCCTTCTGATATTTATTTTAGGCCTTTTCAGGACTTGGGTTAGAGAAATACAGTGGCAGGAGTAGCAACAGGGTTTGGGTTCAGGATTTGCAACCCTTCAGGGACGGCACTGGGCAAAAGAAGCCTCCAGATTTCTCCTTGCTGCTCTGGTTCCAGACACATTTATCAGCAGTGACTGCAATGCATAATGGAAAGGGTTGTCCATCATGAGAACACAGAAAATGCCTTGAATATTAATTGCTAACATATGAAGATGGGAGTCTGGGGCAGTTCAGTATAGGGACTGTGTGATAGCTGGTAGAAGTCAGACCTAGAGCCTAGGTGAATAGATTGAGTGATCACTTCTAACCAAGAAAATTGATCAAGCAAATGTTTTGAGAAGGTGCTTTGGAATAGAATTCAGAATCCACGGTAAGTCAGCTGCCTTTCACTTCTGAGGTTTTTCTAGGTTGTTTATCCTGTCCTGGGTTGGAGAAGAGGTTGGTTTGTGAGATAGGAAGGTGAATATCTTATTAGTCAAAGGATCACAGTACTTATTTTTTTAAACAATAAATTTATTCTTTATTGGTGTCCAATTTGCCAACATAGAGAATAACACCCAGTGCTCATCCCGTCAAATGCCCCCCTCACAGTACTTAATGAGTGGTTTTCCCCCACCAATGAGCAGCAATATTTGGCTGGAACTCCAAACCCTGAACTAGCCACTTTATCTCACTACATCTTAGTTTCTTCATGTATATATATCTGTACATGAATATAGGTATTATATATATATACATAGTGACCGCTAAACTACAGAGAACAAGCAGATGCCAAAAGTCAAAAGGAAAAAAAAATCAAAGGACTGGATCAATGTAATGGAAAATTATACAGTTTGGAAAGTTAGTTGGTACATGACTGGATGGGACTCCATCAATAAGCAAAAGCGAGGGAGAAATTTACAATCATAGGATTTATCCTAAGGAAGGAGGAGCCATCCATATGCAGGGGTATTCACTGGAACATTGTAAAGTGGAAACACTGGAAAGCAAGGAGTGGAGCAATTATGCTGGTTCCTATCCAGTAGCATTTCACTGGTTGACTGAGCCAATTCTTATGACACCAGCACAGCACTGGTGTGTGTAACCCCCATCCAGACAAGATGGTCTCGGCTGTCTCCTTGTTTGGTAGTATAAGCAAGGCTCCTGGAGGTGAGCATAGCGTAGTGTTGAATCACTATGGTGTACACCTGAAACTAACATAACATGGTGTATTAACTAGACTCAAGATAAAAAAAAAAAAAAAGAAGCCTCCTCAATCTGATGACCTCAGGTATTTTCCAAGGTAAGCCAAGGTCAAGCAGAGTTGAGGCATTTACTGCTTCTCTTCCCTGTCCTTCCTCCACACTTTTTCTCTCCCTTCCCTTGCTCTGAGCCCTTCCCCTGCTCTGCTTCCAAGGACAGGAAAAGCCTCTAAACCAACAGGGAGGGAGACCATGGGCTCCAATCAGGACACAAGCCTTTCACCAGGTCTGCTGGCTCCATTCACCCTGTTGTTTCTGAATATTTCTCATAGCACAAGTCTAAGCTAATATTTTGGCAGGAAGCATGGGTCCAGCTAGACGAGAGAACAATGAACTGTTTGTTGTGGAGTTAGGTAGCATGAAAAATGTTTAAACACTTTGCTGTTGATGTTCTGATCTATTCATCAAGTATTTATTTATGTGTGCTAAGGGCCACAGGAGCCTGGGTGGGCCAGAGCCGGTGAAAACAGAGGTCCCAAGGGGCTAAGAGCTAGTTGTGGAGCTGGGAGGTTCCCCAACTAATTGTGCTATAATCAAGCCAGACTCCATTGCTTTGAGAGGGCAGAGAAGAGAGGACTTAACAGTAACCAACATCAATCACAAAGATTTCTTTTTTTTTTATTTATTTAAATTCAATTTAGTTAAATATAGTGTAGTATTAGTTTCAGGAGTAGAATTTAGTGATTCATCGCTTACATAAAACACCCAGGGCTCATGAAAAGTGCCCTCCTTAGTGCCCATCACCACCCCTACCCCCCCCCTCCAGCGACCCTCAGTTTTTTCCCTAGAGTTGAGTCTCTTACGGTTTGTCTCTCTCTCTCTCTGATTTTATTTTATCTTATTTTATTATTTTATTTTTCCTTCCCTTTCCCTATGTTCATCTGTTTTGTTTCTTAAATTCCACATATGAGTGAAATCATATGTTATTTGTCTTTCTCTGACTGGCTTATTTCACTGAGCATAATACCCTCTAGTTCCATCCATGTGATTGCAAATGGCAAGATTTCATTCTTTTTGATGGCTAAGCAATATTCCATCATATATATATCTCACATCTTCTTTATCCGTTTATCTGTCAATGGACATTTGGGCTCCTTCCACAGTTTGGCTATTGTGGACATTGCTGCTGTAAACATTGGAGTGCATGTCCCCTTTCGAATCATGATTTTTGTATCCTTTGGATAAATAGCTACTAGTGTAATTGCTGGGTCATAGCATAGTTCTATTTTTAACTTTTTGAGGAAGCTCCACACTGTTTTCCAGAGTGACTGTACCAGTTCACATTCCCACCAACAGTGTAAGAGGATTCCCCTTTCTCTGCATCCTTGCCAGCATCTGTTGTTTCCTAAGTTAATAACAAAGATTTCTGATTTCTGATAGGAGGTGAGGACATCTATATCTCCACATAAATACACCGTCAATGGAATTACTGTTAAAGAATAAACTCATACAGACATTAAGTGTTGTGATTAACACCTCCGGACTTAACATCAGGCAGACCAAGTTTTTGTTCCACTTCCAACACTTACTAGTTATGTGACTTTGGATAATAGTCATCGTTGTCTTCTTCTTCTTCTTCTTCTTCTTCTTCTTCTTCTTCTTCTTCTTCTTCTTCATTTCCAGTCCCAGCCACTAGATATCAAGAGCAAATGGTAGCCAGAAAAGGGAGACCACGCATAAAATATACTGCCAACTGGAAATAATCTAAGAAGAGAGCAAAATGCTCTATCATGGAACACTGTTTATAAAGCTGAAAAACTGGAATCAAAGAGAGTGGGGTGTTATCACTATTCTCCATGTGTAAAAGAAGGAAAATAACAGGATTCAACCCAAAAAGTTAAATGAGTTAACTGTGAATAAAGCCTAGTATGTTGTGAGCCATTGTTATGATTTCCATGATTACTACCATTTAGTTTAGGTGCACAGAAAATATCAGGAGATCTCCTTGGAGGCTATATTCTTAGGAATGGAGTAGGAAGACAAGAAGTGAGGGGTTTGTACTTTTAACTTCATACTATTCTTTTTTGATTTTTTAAAAGATATTTATTTATTTATTTATTTATTTATTTATTTATTTAGAGAAAATGTGAGTGGGGCTAGGGGCAGAGGGAGAGGGAGAAGCAGACTCCTTTCTGAGCCAGGAGCCCAATGACTCAGGGCTCTGCTCAGTCTCAGGACCCTGAGATCATGACCTGAGCGAAAACCGAGTCAGACACTTAACCGACTGAGCCACCCAGGCACCCTTCTCTTTTTAACTTTTAAAAATGAAATAAATAAAATATTTAAAACTATGCTACTGGACTTTTCATAATTATATAATATAAACATGTAGGATAATTTAAGCTCTGAGTGCATGGGACTTTGGATTTGGGAATATAAAGATGTGGCCTTTGATTCTGACCCTGCTGATTAGGTTATTTTGGTCAATATTAAGCTCCTTGAGCCTTAACTTTCTCATCTTTAAAGTGGGTACAATATCACCTACCTCATAAGATTAAATGCTATACTATAATGGAAGAGTCTTGCATATACCTTACATATTGTCAACATGTACTGGTTTACTATTTTTATACCATCCCATCATCCCTTCTGTACTTTCTTTTCATTTTCATTGCCTCTTCTTTCATCACCCAGTGAAAATTCAAGTTGACATCAATGGAGAATAGCACAGAAGCCACAGAGTTCATCCTCTTGGGATTAACAGATGACCCCAATCTTCGGGTCCCCCTCCTCCTGGTATTTTTGTTCATCTACCTCATCACTCTGGTTGGGAATGGGGGCATGATGGTGATCATCCACTCAGACCCCCACCTCCACACTCCCATGTATTTCTTTCTCAGCAACCTCTCCTTCGTAGACCTGGGTTACTCCTCAGCTGTAGCCCCAAAGGCAGTGGCTGGCCTGCAGTCGGGGAACAAAGTCATCTCCTACAGTGGATGTGCTACCCAGTTCTTCTTCTTTGTGGGTTTTGCCACTGCCGAGTGCTACCTCCTGGCCTGCATGGCCTATGACCGCCATGCAGCCATATGCAGGCCTCTTCATTACACCACCACCATGACAGCAGGCGTGTGTGCCCTCCTCACTGTTGGCTCCTATGTCTGTGGCTTCCTCAATGCTTCTATTCACACAGCAAACACCTTTAGACTCTCGTTCTGTGCTTCTCATGAGATTAATCATTTTTTCTGCGATCTTCCTCCACTTTTGGCTCTCTCATGTTCCAACACACGCATCAACAACTTGGTTGTCTTCTGTGTCGTGGGCTTCAACGTCTTTTTCACCCTCCTGGTCATCCTCATCTCTTACCTCTTCATATACATCGCCATTCAAAGGATACGTTCTGTGGAAGGACGGAAGAAAGCCTTCTCCACCTGTGCCTCCCACCTCACTGCCGTAACCATCTTCTACGGAACTATCATCTTCATGTACTTCCAGCCCAGCTCCAGCCAGTCCATGGACACAGACAAAATTTATTCTGTGTTTTACTCAGTGGTGATTCCCATGTTGAACCCCTTGATCTACAGCCTTAGGAACAAAGACGTAAAAAATGCTCTCCGGAAAGTACTCAACAAACTTCACCCCCAGTCTGTAAGTGTAGGTGGGAAGTAGACAGGTAGCTGAGTGATAAACCTTCCCCCAGACCTAGATGCCATCGTGACTTCTGAGCTTCGGCAGATTGCAGACTTTTCTCCTCGAAGAACAGTGCTTACTTCTGCTACTTGGAGAAATTATGAAAGCAGCACTTGGAAATGTCTCACTGAGGAAGATAATCTTGTATTTAGTGAATAACAACTTGGGACATTTAAACTCTTCTTGCACTAGTTTCTTGATGTGATTCAAAGCAGAAGATCAAAGTGTGAATTGAATGGACTTAATTGGAAGAAATTTTCACTCACCATTAAGATTTGGTGTAAGGATCACATCTTCACTGTATAATACTTATCAGTTGAAATGTACAACATTATGCTTTCATATTTGGTCCATGAGTTTGAAAGTTAAAGTTTATAATGCAGACAAAAGATGTTTAAATATTTTTAATAACACCTCTAGAAGGTTTTAACTCAAAGAACAGGACACACTATACCCAGAGTTGGATGACCCAGCCTTTAATCCTTCCAAACTCTCGCCCACATTCCTGCTTATTCATTGGTTGAGCACTTTTGTATTTTCGTAACTCCTTCTGTTAATGTGTTGGGATAACTTTGGTAGAAAACAATAAGCCACCTTTGTATGTAACAGTGTCGGTAGATAAATTGTTTAAACTTTAACCTGAATAAACATATCTTTCTTTAGAAAGCTTGCACTCTGTTCCATGCTTTTGGCCTTTGTCTAACATAATTACCAAAGCTTGCAGAAGGTTTGGAGGAAAAAGCATTTTTTCCAAGGGCTATGAAAGAGGAGATTTGTCTTCTGAATTAAATGCTGCATTTCTCAGCACCCTTAAGTTTGGTGAATCTATTATGAGTACACATAATAGCTTTCTGTGCCCTCTTGGCTTCTGTTTTTTCAATAATTCAGTTCACCTCTGGATCCCTGTTGCATTGCGATGTTCTGTAATTAGATGCTACAAGAATAAAAAAGCCCACAGAAATTTACTTCATAAATAGGAACAGTACAATGACACATAGGTCAAGTCCACCTTCAGGTCTTATTTTGAGTCCTGGATGGTATCTGCGAACGTGTGTGTGTGTGTGTGTGTGTGTGTGTGTAGGGGAGTGGTGATTAATTTTATTTCTCACATATCAATGGCTTGATGGTGTTTGCAGCCACAATTAGTTCAAGTCACAGGATATTTCATGATATCCAGATCTCAAAGACAACAACAACAAAAAAAGAATTATTTTAAATGTGAAAACCAGAAATATGGGTGGGCAAACTCAGGGAGCTTAGAAAGTCAAATTAGTTTTGAGATTATCAAACTCCTTATGCACAGAGCAGCCTCTGTGTGAGGAGAGTGGTTGGTGGGTCTTGTGGAGAGAAGAGCAAAGAGAGAGTTTTGGAACTGAGGCTGATCTATAGGAGAAACTTCCTCTGGCACATGGCCACTGCCACTTAACAAGACCGGGAGCTTCTCCTGGATCCAGCACCCCAGTTTAGGCAGAAAAGTGTGTGGCTCTCCTAAGAGTTAAAGACCCGATGCCTATATATCTCTCTTTCCTGCTGAAGTCCTCCCCAACTAGTCTAACAATTGATTGCAAATGGGTAAAAGAGAGAACTAGTTCTAGCGTCAAGAGCTGGATGAAAATCCTTACTCTTCTTAATCAAGTGTGTGACCTCAAGAGTCACTTAATCTCTTTGGCCCCAACATATGGTAAACTGTGAAGATGACAAAATAAAGTACTTGAATGTGCCCAGCATAATGAATGCATATTCAATACAGCGGAGACTCACTTGGCTGTCCTTGTGTGCTCCACTTTGAGCTTCTGAGCTCCCGCCCTCTCTCCACCCCATCCAAGTCCAAGTTTTTTATTTCTAGCCATTGCTTAACTTCCTTTCTTCCGAGCTGCCGGTTCTACATCAGACACATTTCAAGCTGGTTTTATGCGAACATTCATTTACAGAAGCTACTCAGAAGGAGACGGCTTGTCGCCAGCAAGACATTAATTTTCGGAATCCACGTTCCTGTGGGGAGCTTTGCACTTCCACATGGGAAATCTGTCAAATGGAGACTAAATGCCCATTTGGTTATTAACAACACCCACCCTCCCCCTGTGGGGCTGGTCTGATGAATGGGAGGCAGTGACTAAGGCTTGTAGCTCAAGGGAGTAAAGGAGTAAAGGCACAGGGAGACTTCTTTCCTGAAATGGCCAAAAAAGAGAGTGAAAACACATCAATCAGGCCAATTATTTATATCGGGATAAATTGCCCCTTTGAAAAAGGATTCATGATTGAATTACTCTAAATACGGGGCTCCCTTTTGTGCGTTAGATGATTTGTTCAGCTTTATGTATGGGGAAAGGAAAATTAAAATATTAGGAGTCTTTGACAATTGAAGCTAACATGACAGAGCCATGACTTCTTTAGCCTTCAAAGAGCCTTTAAAAATAATCTCGACCGACCCTCTCATTTTACAGCTGACAACCCTGATTCCCACAGTTTAGCTTGCTTCAGCTCACAGAGAACCAAGTCTTATTAGACTCTTATTCATCCTTTACATTCTATAAAGTTCTTGATGTGTCAAAAGACATTTTTACTTCCATTGTTTGCCACGAGGTAGATTTTTTGCGCTTTGGTTTTGCAATCAAGGAAACCAGAGCTTTGAGAAGTTAGCTTACCTGCCTACTACTAACAAAAGGAACCAAGATTTGAACATTAGTTTTGCCTTCCCTGCCCAATTCTCTAAGAAAGAACAAATAGCCTTATACTTTAGTATGTTTCAACAGAGGACTTATTTCATGTATAAATCATTTACAGTCTTTCACGATAAGTCCCTGTGGTGTGGAAAGGCGCTGTGGAGAATACAAACAAATATAAGACTATAAGATATAATTCCTGCTTCAACAAAGCAAATCCTCCTGCACATATGGTGACCAATGCAATGCACTTTTGAGATTAATGACTCAGTATTGGATAACTTTGTTGGCAAGAATTCTTCCTATACTCTACGCAACATGAATGGATCAGAGCACATGTGTTTTCAGCCTTGAGAATTGGAGTTGGCTCTTTGAATGCTGCAGCCCACAGAGAGAGCAAGCCTCAGCCAATGTTTACTGGGCACTGAGCATAAGCTGCAAGAAAGGCATGGCGTGAGGTCTGCTCAGGCCATGTTCGATGCCATTCTTGCTTCAGGAGTAGCTTGCAAATGTGCAGTAAAACAAGGCACGTGCTTCTAGATAGATGGCAATTCGAGTCATTGGTGGTCATTGTCAATCAGGCAAGATAGAAAATAATAATTAGAACTCTTCAGAAATTAGACAGAATCCTGTGGGCAGGGAAAGCTCTTTGGAGGAAGTGCAACATGAGCCAAGCTCTGAAGGGATAATGTAGAAAGAGCCCAGACATCCAACGTAGAAGACAGCCTCTCGTTGAAACCTTACCACTTACTAACTGTGAGACTGGCAGGAGTCAATCAGGAGGAGCCAACTTCCTCCTCATCAAAGAGGAGATTGTAGCAGGTCACACCATCCTCAAGGACGTGGTAAAGTCAAAGGAGATCATGGACAGGAAAGTGTTTTTAAAGTTGCTATCCTCTCGCTAATGTCAGTATTGCCACTGACAAATCATTAGCAGAGCTGAATGGAGAGTTCCTGACCAACAGGGACCCACCTGAACCCAGGGAAGGCAGATGGGATTGCACATGGCAGGAGCTTCTTTCTGTTGTCAGAGGCTGTAGGAAAAGCAGACCACTCAGACAGCAAGTAGATGGACCACCAAACCCTCAATCTATTACTTCTGGAGGCAGCTAGGACTTGTTCCCATCCAGCTGGATGAAGGGTCTGGGCCTATGAGAATGATTGTGTCCCCATAGAAAAATCACTTTCATTGCAAAACTTCCATAGGATCTCCCCACTCAGCTACTCAGATCCAAGCCCAAGAACCTCACCTCCTATTCATGACAAAAGATTTCTCTGTTGTTGGTCTGTGATTATTTCATAAGGTATGTGTATATGTGGTGAGGTGAGGGGGGGTTAGTTTTTGCAGTATATTTAACCAGCAAAAAGTTAGTGTCTATATATGTATGTATATGTATGTGTATATATATTAAAACTTCTTACAATTCAGTGAGAAAAAGCCTAATAGAAAAACATAAAATCGAGTTATTCACTCTATTGTTCATGTTAATTTTACTTATCTCTAGTTTGGGATAGTGATGAGCAATGCTGATGTGAACTTTTCACCACGTGTCCCAAAGCACATAGGCAGTCAGTTCTCTAGGGTACGTGCATTTGGATGAATAATTGCTGATCTGTAGGTAAATAATTTGGCGCTGGTCTTGGAAGTAGTTGTACCAATTTATATTTGTATCAACAAGTGTGTGAGTTCCCAATGCCAACACTTGATGTTACTGGGCTTTTAAATTACACCAATTTGAAGAGAGGTTGGTGTTTTTAATTGTTGGTTTAATTGTATTTTTTGATTACTGATGAAGTCACACACAATTTTGTGGGTTCTTTTTTCTCCAATCCTTTCGGCCACTTTCCCATTGCTATGTAAAAATAAAGCAAATCACAAACAGATCCAAATGCAATTATGGAATGAATATTTCTGCTTTATTCCTGACTTGGATGCTGCCTATATTGATGTTTGCTTTGTAACTATTATTAAACTCAACCTAAATGTTTTATGCACTTTTTTGAGTATAAATATATGTGTGTGTGTATGTATAGACACACACATATATATGTATGTAATCACAGTGAAAATGTTAAAAAAGGAAAATGAAACATAGTTACTATATTCATTCCTATATTTCATCACAGAACTTTATGTACTTTTTGGTTGTGTGTCATGTTGTGTACTTTTCTGTATAAGATGTATTTCATAATACAAATGTTAAAAAAGATACATCCAACCAAGTTCCTATATATAAGAACTTCATAGCATACACTAAAGTGGAGACAGCACTTACTATAAATAACTTTAATTCTATGTAGCAAATGATAAAAAAA